AAATTTCTCCCAATTTTCCCTCAAATCTTCCCCAAATTTCTTCAAAATTTCTCCAAAATTTTCCCAAAATTTCCCCAAAATCTGCCCAAATTTTCCTCAAAATTTCTTAAAAATTTCCCCAATTTTTCCCAAAATTTCCTCAAAATCTCCCAAAAATTTCTTGAAAATTTCTTGAAAATTTCTCCAAAATTTCCCCAAAATCTCCCCAAATCTGCCCCAAATTTCCCAAAAATTTCTCCAAAATTTCTCCAAAATTTCTCCAAAATTTTCCCAAAATTTCCCCAAAATTTCCTCAAAATCTCCCAAAATTTTTTTGAAAATTTCCCCAAAATTTCCCCAAATTTCCCCAAAATCTCCCCCAAATCTGCCCCAAATTTCCCCAAAATTTCTTCAAAATTTCTCCAAAGTTTTCCTCAAATTTCCCCAAAATCTTCCCCAAAATTTCCTCAAAATTTCCCCAAAATTTCCCCCAAATCTGCCCCAAATTTTCCCAAAATTTCCTCAAAATTTCTCCAAAATTTTCCCCAAATTTCTTCAAAATTTCCTCAAAAAATTTCCCCAAATTCCCCCAAATTCTCCCAAAATTTCTTCAAAATTTTCCCCAAATTTCCCCAAAATTTCCCCAAAATTTCTTCAAATTTCCCCAAAATCTCCCCCAAATTTCCCGAAAATTTCTCCAAAATTTACTCACAAATCTCCCCAAAAATTTCCCAAAATTTCCCCAAAATTTTCCCCAAAATTTCTTCAAAATTTCCTCAAAAAATTTCCCCAAATTTTCCCAAATTCTCCCAAAATTTCCCCAAAATTTCCCCAAAATTCTCCCCAGCCCCCCCCAGACCCCAAATTAACCCCAAATTAATTAAACCCCGAATAAATCCCCTAAAATTCACTCTAATTAACGCTAATTAACGCTAATTAACGCTAATTAACGCTAATTAACGCTAATTAACCCCCCCAAAAACCCAAAAAAATTCCAAAAAAAATCGAAATAAAGCCCAATAAAAACCCAATTAACGCTAATTAACGCTAATTAACGCTAATTAACGTAAATGCCGTGGGAGGCCACCACGTGACCGAGCAAGATGACGTCACTGGGTCCCAAATAACCCCAAAAAACCAAAAAAAATTCAAAAAAAATTCAAAAAAAATTAAAAAAAATCGAAATAAAACCCAATAAAAACCCCATTAACGCTAATTAACGCTAATTACCGTACATCCGGTGCGAGGCCACCACGTGACCCAGCAGGATGACGTCACTGGGAGCCCCCAGACCCCAAAAAACCCCAAAAAATCCC